CCGCATTCAGGCGCGGGCGCCCATGGACGGCCACACCTGAGCCAGGAACGGGGCTGCGGGGCAGGAGCCGCCCCGGCCACAGCTGCAGGCCCAGCGCGGGCACCGCCCCCTCCTGGCGACTCCGCCCCGGGCCCGGCTCCGCCCACCGCTGGGCGTGGCCTCTGCTTGCGCCTGCGCGCTGGGTGCGGCCTGGTGGCTGAGTTCGCGCCCTTCAGGCGATGCCCTCGCGGTGGAGAGTCCGGCGGGAGCCGCGCTGCCCCGCGAGGGCTCCGGGTGCGCGTGCCGGGCCGGGCGCGGCCTGTGCGGTGCTGGCGGGACGGTCGCGCCCGCCACCCCGGGAGCCCCGGGTTTGGGAGCGCTAGGCCGAAGTCCCCGTCACCCCGTCACCTCGTCACCTCGTCACCTCGTCACCCCGTCACCCCGTCACCCCGCCCCCCGTGGTTCGGCGGCATGTGGGTTCCGGGAAGGTTTGCCGTGTTGGGTGTGGGGGTTCCATGTGGGGTGCAGGGGGCGCGTGTGGGGTGCGGGGGAGGCGCGTGTGGGGTGCGGGGCGCCTTCCCCGGGGGTGGCGGCGCTCACGCCGGTTCCCGGGGCTCGCCCCCCGACGCGGGGCCCGGGGTGGCCATACGCCCGGCCTGGGCAGTGCCACCGCCGCGGGCGCGGTCCCTTGAGCCCCGGGCCGGGCTCGGGCGCGGGTCTGCGCGGCGGGCGGGCCCTGGCCATCAGCGGGGCTGCTGTGCGCGGGCAGCGGGGCCGAGCGGGCGGGGCCGGACCTCAGGTCCCGCAGAGATGCGGTGGGGCCGCCTCGGGGCCCGGCCGGGCGCTGTCCCGTCGGCAGCCCCTGGACAGAGGCCGGCAGCGGGTGCTGACGGCGCGGGGAGCGCTGAGGGGACGAGCGCGGGGCCCGGTGGCTGGTGGTGCGGCCCGGGGCGCGGACCTCCCTGCGGGAAACCCCGATGCGGCCGCGCACAGGGGATGAGAGAGTGACGGCGGCGCAGGTGGGTCTCCCAGGAGGACGCTGGTCTCGGCGGCCAGAGGCCTCCTGCCAGTTCATGGCCCGCCTGAGGTGAGGGGACGCCCTTGCTGACGAGCCCGTTCACCCGCCGACTGAGGAGAGCGCGAGCTCCCCTAGCAGCTGCCCTGCGAGGAGGCTGACTGACTCCCGGAGCAGCCGACTCCCGGCTCCCTGGCTGGCCACCCGGGCAGCTCACTGGCGGAGGCGGTGTGCGCGGAGTCCACCACCCGCCTATGTCGCTGCCTCCCTCGGGAACCAGTGGTCCTGAGCCCTCTGTGCCCTCCGCCTTCCCAGGATTCCTGCCCTCAGGGTCCTTGCTCAACACACTAGGGGGCCTCTCGGGGACTCCCAAGCCCCGCCAGGCGCCCCCTCCCGAGGTCCTTCCCTCTGCATTCCCAGCTGGAATATCCTAGGGCCCGGGATGGACTCCACGCCATGCCAGCTTGTGCCTGGGCCAGGGGCGGCCGCAGAGGCCAGTGGACAGGAGGGACGGGATTGGTGACCAGAACATGGCCTGGGGAGCTACACTCTCTGGGCTCAGTGCTGGTAAGGCCTCACCCCCTCATCCTCCCCCACGCCCCAGCCATGGGGCAGGATGAGGCTGAGCAGAGGCATTTCCGGAGACCCGGGCGATCCCCCCACTCTCCTCTGAGGGGAGGGAGGTGTCTACACAGGGGCCATCTGTGGCCGGGTTTGCTCACCTGCGCAGTAGGGACCTCAAACACACCCCACATAGGCCATGTGGACAGAAGGCGGCTCCAGAGACTGTCAGGAGAGACCAGTCTGCCTGGACCCGAGTCCCTGAAAGTCCTATGCCAGGCCAGGATGCCCCACCCTCCTGATGGGGCCTTGGTGTCAGGTGTGAGGACAACAATCCCATCCATTCAACCTGGGACCCCTAGTGGAGGCAGCTGTGACTCCAACTGGCAGGGATGGCTCCTCTGTGTCCAGAGCCCTGACCTGGGACTGCCGCTGCATCAGCTGGGGGCGGCTAGAACACCCCACTGGATTGCGGGCAGGACGACCCTCAGGACACAGCCTAAGGACGAGGCAGGGGCTAGGGCTCCAATGGTGGTCAGGACACTGGCTCAGCAGGTGCAGATTTACCAAATTAGAATATCCTTACAAGGATCAAAGCTGTTCCTGTCTGCCCCTAGGACCAGGGGAACTGGGGTTGGGGTTGGCCTGTCTGGGCCAAGTAACCAGGAATGATCTGGTGTTTCCTGGTTACATGACAGGGTCCTGGACAGCAGTGCCAGGGAAGGACCAAAGTCCCGGGCAGCAGGAAACCCACAGACAGCATCAGACAGACCCAAATGAGGAAGGTGCTTGCTCCCCCTCCTCCACTGAGAGGGCCCAGCTGGGTGGTGACCCCCAGGGGAAGATGGCAGAGCAGGGTGGTTGAGGGGTAGTTGTGGGGGAGGAGCCTGAGGCAGGAACTGACAAGACCCTGTTTGTGGTATCGGGGACTGAAGACAGGGTGAGCTCACTGGGAGCTACTCTGCCTCACAGGGGCTGGAATTAAAAAATGAAAAATACACACCTGCAGGGCTTTTACAGATGGGATGTAGTAAACTCTCATTTTTTGTGCCTTAGGTGGTAAATGTTCTGGGAAGACCATCATGCGAGGCCAAAGGCTTTGGGGGTGAAAGGACGCACCAGAGACAGAGTGGATAACACAACAGGTAGATGTGTGGAAATGTTTCGCTAAGAGAAGCAGCGGCGAGAGGAGAGACTTCTGGGTCTCAGTTTGATTTCTGACTTCAGTAGGCTTTGTCTGACTTGGGGAGTCGGTCCTTGCTGGTTGTTACCCATTGTGGCATCAGGCTTTCAGTCAATTCTCCCTTTAGGCCACGTCTGGGGTTTGTTTGCCCTGATTCCACCTTCTCTGGAGCTCTGGCAGCCTTTGGCGTGTGTGCACTTGATCTGGCTCCCTACTTGATGTATCTCACTCCCTTTCTTATCTCCTTTATTTTCCCCAGCAGTGTTCTGCTGAGCATGATGCAGAGACTAGCTTTTAATTTTATCAGATGTACCCCAATAGTAAGGGGGGGTGCGAGTGCCTAAATGAGGCTGTGGTGAGCTCTGAGAATAGAATGAGGGCCTCCCGGGTGGCCCAGTGGGCTGAGTTCAGCGCTGTGACGCTGTCTCCAGCCTCTGTAGCGCGGGTTCTATTGCCGGCCGGCCAGGGAGAAACCCACATGGCGCCGCAGACCTCTCCTGACTCACCCGCTGCTCCCCTCAGCAGTATCTTCGCTCCTTCTGCCTGGTCTGCTTCCCGCTCTGTTTCTGGTGAATTCTCTCACCATCCCACCCCTCTGCCTGTACCCCAATTCTTGTATAAATAAGTAAATCTTAAAAAAAAAGGAAAAGAATGACATTTCCAGGTTAAAACAGCAATGTTGTGTAAACAAATTTCAAAAAAGATGGAGCAATTGTAATGGAGAAATGTAAAGTGCATTTCTAATGTAGGATTACTGTTTACATCAATGGAAAAGAAGGTAGCATAGATAATGTAAGGAAAGCAATTCTGCTCCGCTCAAATTATCGATATTATATTACGCTGAAAGATGAATTACAACTTTTAAGATCAGTAATGTTATTTTGGACATGGGATTTTTGTGAAGACTTATGGTGAGATAATAAAATGATAGTGGTAAATATATGTACTTATTTTCACAATTAAACAATTGTGTGGCATATCCACACCTCAGACAATATAAACTTTATGAAATGTCACCGTTTTCACAAATGTCGTAAGTACTATTTGTCATTTTTCTGAAATTACAAATTTCTAATACATAAATAAATGACGTGATTGCCTTTAGGTGAACACTGATACAGGTGTGTACATTACACGTGCCGAGGCCACACATGGCACGTCACACACATCATACCAGACACACATCATACCAGACACACATCCGAGATCCGCCTGGGCACATATGGGAACATAATACAGTTGTAAGAATGTAAGCATCAGGAGCTTTTCTTCTTCCTTTGTGGCCTAATTTTTGCAAGTAAGAAAGTGTATCACGTGAGCTCAGATATGTACAGACAAGTCTGTCACAATAAGTGCTTTCAGTCACATACTGTTGAATGCTTCATATTTTGCGTGAGCTCCACGCTGTACATTCAGAGCAAGCTCTATACATGTCCCTCCTGAGACTGAGGACACATGCCCTTGGCACCATGAACACACAGGGGATCCAGCTCTTTCCTTCCAAGTGCATCTGCCCTGGTGCCAAGTTTCCTGGCACCTCCACCCTGAAAGACAAGAGTGGACACCTCCAGTCTGTGTGTTGCAAAAACGCTCACATCCCTTCACTGTGGGAGAAATCTTACTCCTGCACAACCCAGGCCACGCAAAGCACGTCTCCTTGAATTGTCACCGTCACCGTCACCCTCTGGTGGCTCGAAACCATCTAAGCGTTGCTTCTGTGCCTGCTGGACGCAGCCCATCTGTCTGTAGGTCTACCAGAGGATGCTCCGGCACGGAATCGCCTTCACGTGCCCTTCTCAAGTAAGGTCTTCGCCTCCCTGAGGGTCGAATGTGCAAGACTGAAAACTGCTCCCGAAGCCTGACTCGCTGCCGGGATCTCCCCTCAGGACAGCTGACTCCAGCTCCAGGGCTGCCCTGCACCCACCGTGCCATTTTCCTGTGAACTAAGCTCTATGCCCAGATGTTCCTAGACTTTCTGTGAGAATTAAAGTGACACAGTTGAGGCCTTTCCCATCCCAGAGAGTGTCAGGCCCACGTGCTGTCTCGCACACATTGCGAACCATCTGGAGCAAGACTGTGTTCCTCACACGAGTATTAGGGACCCATGTACAAACCTTGTTACATTGACTTGTCCCAGAAACACTTGCTGTGAAGAGGTTGCTCATCCTGTCCCTAAACCATATGTCACTCACGACTGCAGTTAGCACTGGGGGTGTAGAGTGAATTATCGAATGAATAAATGACCGTGCACTCACACACCGTTTACATGTTTCTCAAGGGATTGTGGCATTTACTACTCCTGATCAGGGCAGAGCACAGCAGGGACACCTTGGGTTCCCGGCTCAAGAGCAGAAAAGGACAGAGAGTCGGGAAAGACAGGGTGATTACTGTATTGATGTTATAAACATACCAGTTGGGATTATACATAACAGCCACAACCATCTTCAGCACAGAGGAAATGATGTTAAAGCAGACGAAGGTGCTCACCAGGAGCAGGATGGTGTGAGTGGCCCTAGACTCGGGGGAGGACGTGGAGGAGGCGAACCCGTGAAGGTGCCAGACCCGCTGCCTGTGCCGGGACAGGGTGTAGACCATGGAGCTGCTGGCCCCGAACATGGTCACAAAAAACACAACATCGGGGAAGGAGAGCAAAGCCCCGTATAAGATGTCACTGGCTGGGTCGTGACGAACAGAGGAACACTGCCCAAACCTTTTCCTGCCTGTGTCATTTTTGTCACTCAAATTACCCCCAATGAACACGGCAAAGATGGAATTAACCAGCAGGCTCAGGACCCAGCACAGGGCAATGCAGGGCAGGATGCACCTGGGAGCTTTCTCTCTCAGCCCTGCCCACCTAGCACCCCAGGCGCTGATGGTTATGGCCTGGAACACACTCAGGAGGCAGGTGGTGCTGATGGACACGCCTCTGCCCACTCCAGAAACATAAAGGAGAAACTTGCAGCTCAAATCACTGCCTGGATACCACCCAGCAGATGTCAGTGGATAGGAGATACTGCTGGAGAACAGGACCAACAAATTGACCATAATCAAGTTCTTGACAATCAAAGCTGTGGCCCTCGGCCTACCCCCATGGAAAGAGAGGAAGAGCTGATGGGAAAGAAGACAGAAATTCCCCAGGATCCCGAGCCCAGCTACTAAGAACACGACTATCACCGCCACCCAATCCCGGAAGTCCATCCTGTCAGTTCTCAGCAGCTGGCACAGGCCTCCTGAGCAGGAGGACCCTGCTGGGCAACCTGTCAGCTGCTGCCCCGCCCTCCCTCCCCGCACAGCTCCCCCTCCGGGGTGTTCACTGAAAGGCTCCCAGTTATTCAGAGACTTTCGGGGGCTGAACGTACACCCAGGACTCCCCGTTGCAGGGATAGCTCAGGGAGGCTGACTGCCTTCCTCACAGACTGCCGAGGCGGCGCTGTCCCGTCCTCATGGAGCAGAGGGCGCACAGGCACGGAGAGGATGCGGGTCCCTCAGATTCACTCAGTGGTTCCGGGTGGAGTGGCGAGCTGACCTGGCTGGGCGGGGGACAACACAGGCCACTGAGCCCACACTCCCCAGGGGGCCCTCCGCTGAGTCCTCAGCTCGACCAGAAGCTGACTGACCCTGCGTGTGTCCTGCCATCCAGGGCAGATTCATTTCCCAAGACGGGTCCTGACAAGGTGGCACTGGCATCCGCTTGAGCGCACAGGCTTCTGGGGCCGGCTCTGTGGCTTTCATTCCTGGGCCAGGTGCAAGGGTCCCCTCTCTTTCCTCCTCTCTGGCCCTCTCTCGCCCTGCCCGTTCGGGGACACCTGCACCTCCTCCCTCTTGGAAGAGATCCCAGCCCGTCTGTGAGACTCTCGGCCTTAGCAGCCCTGCCACCCTCAGGCCCTCCCCAGCTCCGGGGACACTCAGGGTGTCTCTGTGAAGGTATTCTTCAGGCAGAGCCAAGCTCCAGGGGTGTGAATAAACTGGGAGCACCGCGGGCAGGGAGGGCAGAGCCGTCCCCCCACCCCGGGCTTGGGAGCCCAGAGCCGCCAGGAGCCTGGAAACAGCCCGTCTGCTTTCACCCCGGGAGCCGCAGGCAAAGGCCTGAGCCGGGACGACGGGCCCCACACCCCGTGTGATAAGCGTGTGTGGGCACGAGCTCGGCCCCGACGTCAGATCTCGGGCCCAACCGCTGAGGAGAGTCTGACCTTCACCTCACGGTGAGCAGAGAGCCGGGCGCGGCACAGGGGTCCAGGCCGCAGACGCGCCGGGGAGGGGAAGCCACGGCCCGGGGAGCAGAAAGGACACGCACCGTCCCGGGTTCTGCCCCCGCCGCCACGAGCAGCCCCGCGAGGCTCGTTCTGAAAGGGCAGGTCAAGGGTCACGTTGTCCCTGTGGTCCAACAGGCCCCGACATCGCCTCCGCTCTGTTTCCTCCTGCGCGCCGCTTTGCCCGCAGTGAGTGGACAGTTCTCTGGGGAGGAGACAGAACAACGTGCCCGCGGCGGCCTCACCCGCCGTGTCGGGGACCGTCTCCTCCCCCCCGGCTCTCAGACGGGCTTCCTGCCGGGACCAGAGCCCCGTGCAGCCCCCGGCCCTGTCTCACCAGCAGGGAGGCCCCGAGAAGCCCCATGGCCCCGGGCATCAGGCCAGGACCCCTCCTGAGGAGGCTGAGCAGCAGGAGCCCCAGATCCACCACGCTGAGGTCAGGGGAGTCAGGGTGCTCCTGGGCTGCAGGGACCCGCAGCCTCCTGGGCCTGAGGGCCCGAGCAGAGCACCAGGCACCCTCAGGAATGGGGGCCTGACCCCGCTGTCTTCACTAGATCAAGGCGTGCCTGGCCGGGTGTAGCTCCAGGAGCGGGTCCCCTCCTGCCCGTGTCCCTCCTGCACCCCTGTCCCCTCCCACACCCGCCCCAGTGAGCACAGAGGAGACTCACCGGCTTCCTGCCGCCCGGGCGCTGGGCTCAGGGAAGGGCTCAGCCTGCATCCTTCCGCAGGGTCCAGCGCACCCCGAGATATAGTGTGTGCCGCTGGGACTCCACCTCACAGCTGCAATTATCGGGTCCCAGGAGCTGCCCGGGCAGTGACAGGCCTGGGAGCTCAGAAGAGTCGGGAAAACTTTTCCTGCTGCTAATTGCCAAGAACAACTTCAGGGTCCTCTGCCGTGTCCCGAGACGTGGGGCGTTGGGGAGACCCTGCTTCCCTGGGCCTGGGGCAGACGGAGGTCCTGGGAGGAGCCCAGAGTAAACAGCACACCTGGGGGCTGGGGAATGAGAGGCGTCCAGGCGAGGCTGTGCTCAGTGAGAGGGTCACCCTCGGGATCTGACCACGTCACCCGCGGAGTGCAGCCTGCAGGGCGCGCTGGGCAGAGACCGGGAGGCCCAGACCCCAGGACGCTGAAAGCCCCCAGGTCCCTGGCAGTGATGACACTGATGACATTCATGGGATCGCCCTGTTGCCTCTATTCAATACCGTCACACCTAAGGTATTCACAAATGTAACCAGTGTTTACCCTCCAGGGCAGCTGGTTCACAGGCGACTCCGCTGTCTGGGACTGTCGGGGCAGCCAGGCCACGTCCTTCCCAACACCCGAGGCCAACGCTCTCCTCTGAGTGTGCAAGTTTGCCAGTTCCAGTCGGGGCTACCATTGCTTTTCTGATCAGGGGGATTTTTGTGATGCGTGAAAGAAAATCCCCTTCCTTGTGGGAGGGGTTGGCGGGTCTGGACCTGGTTCCTGAGCCATCCCACTCCTGGGCAGAGGCTGAGGGAGAAGGTGGACACACCCTCTACAGGCATTGACAGCGAGACATCCACCCCCAAAGCCTCCCACCTCCATCCACACATCACACATCTGTGCACCCCAGGGCACCCGGCGCACACTGACGCGCTGCACAGCACACACTCGTCCCCGGACCCAGAGCTCTCTTCACGAGGAGACGCTCATCTTCACAGGCACCCCAAGTCTTTATCTCAATCCCGTGTGACTCAACACCTGGCTTTGGTCCGGGCTGTTCTCCCTGTAAGGGGTCTGGTAGACACACCGCCCCGGGCCAGTGAGTCGCCAGAGGAGTCGGGATAGCCCAGGGGATGCCCAGGGTGGGCAGGACCCACAAGGTTGAGGGTGGGTGGGAGAAGGAGAGGTCGGCATGTTGGTGATGGTGCCCGAGGTGCAGAGGCTCACGGGGGACTCCAGTCCTGAGCAAGGGTGTGTTGTACCAGGAAGACCTGGCCTGTGGGCCTGGGGCTGCTGAACTGGGTGGAGACCAGGTCAGGGAGGAGGTGGACAGTGGGCTGTGCAGACACAATGATGTTGGAGGGCGGGCAAGTTGCCGAGTGATTGGCAGGCGCCGGATGGCAGAGAGGGCACAGCATGTGCAGGGAGGGCGCTCTTGGGGCTCAGGTGTGGTGCCCGGGTGGGGAGTCCTAGTGTCGCGTGCAGGTCCGGGGCACACAGACCAGGAGGCTCAGGAGCGAGAAGAAGCATGAGGGGCAGAGCATGGAGGGAGGAGCACGGTGGATTTTGGGGTGGAACGTAGAGGAGTGGCTTGGGGCACCCGGGGAGAGCTGACACCTCATGGGCATCAAAAAAGAACAAAATTAACACTCACTTTGGGCCTCCCTGGCGGCACAGGGGCTTGAGACACAGCAGAGGAGCTGTCCACAGCCTCTGCCATATGAGTTCGATCCCCGGGAGGCCAGGGAGCAGTCCACATGGCGCAGCAGACCTCACCTGTCTCCCTGCTGCTCCCGTTAGCAGTGGATTTCAGTAGATATGCTGTTCCGTTCTATCTCTGGTGAATCCTCTCACCACCCACTTCTCTGGTCTATATCCCAGCTCTGGTATGCGTAAATGAATGTATCTTTAAAAAAAAAAAAACAAAATCAAAACCGTGCTCGCTTCAGCGGCACATATACTAAAATTGGAACAATACAGAGAGGATTAGCATGGTCCCTGCGCAATTTTTCTCAGTATTCAAAAAAGATAAACACATGCAATTTGCAGCTACATGGATGGCGCTGGAAGGGATCATGCTCAGCGAAATAAGCCAGAAAGAAAAAGAAAAATACCGGATGGTCTCACTCACAGCATGAATCTAGAAAACTTAAATAAGGGACCAGGAAAATGAATAACTAAGAAAGTGAAAATCAAAATCAACAAAAAACTATGAACCAGAGACACTCTATGGGGGGTAGGGGGTGGGAGGGTAGCGATTGGGGCCAAAATAAGGGGGTTGCAATTGTATGGGGAATATAAAAATAAAATTTATTAAAAAAGAGAATAAATAAAAGTATTAAACAAGCCAAGGGGAAAAAAAAAAACAACCCTCACTTTATTTTTTCAAATGGTGGCAGCAGAATACAAAGGCTATGAGTTGAAGGGGGAGCTGGAGCATGGCGATCCCATGATTGCCACTGAGGAGCTGTCCTCCCCAGCAAGATTCAGTTCTGGCCACTCCAGCGCCCTTCACTTCTCACAGCCACAAGCTCTGGGGCTTGGCCACTGCAGGTGTCCGGGCCCCAACCCAATGCAACAAGGCCAGCAGCCTGTACTGTTGTCGCAGCCCAGGATCTCCCTTGCACTCAGTGGCTGCAAAATTAGGACCCAGACGCTTAGCGTGTTGCATGGGTGGCATCCAGCCTTGTCTGTGTTCCCAGGTGCGACTGCTTTGGAAGAGCCCAGGCCTGGAGTGGGTCTGCAGAGAGAGGAGACAGCAGGGAGTGCAGGTGGAAGAGGGGACCCAGAGCAGGCACTGTTGGTGGGCTCTTCCCTGATAGCTGAGCCGGTGAGAGAGAAGGGGTCAGGCCAACCGAGGCAGAGCCGTGCTAAGGGGCGTTTTCATCTTTGTCCTTGTCCTCCCTGGGCCCACCGGTGGGGCAGGAGCAGAGTGTGGAGGTCGCGCCACCCCCGCTCATTCCTGCAGGGTCACAGGGGGACTTGCACCCTCTGGGGGGCACCTGACACCTCCAGGCTCAGGACAGGAGATGCGGGAAGTGCGGGCTGGGGGAGTCCCTCTCTTCCGCCTGTCATTCACCATCCACCATTTGTCTTTTCGCCCTGACGTGGTCACGGAGCACGGTCCCCTCCGCCTCCTGGCACGTTGCTGCAAATGGCCCGAGTGTGTGTTCCGATGGCTGAGTAGTAAGTGCTCACGTGTGCACAGACCTCCTGCTCTTGATCCGTCCCTGTGCTGGGGGCGTCGAGGGCGTTTCCGCGTCTGGGCCGTCGTGGCTGCGGAGCCAGCGCTGAGGACAGGGCGCGGCGGTGCTGCTGCTTCCCAGACTCCTGACTGAGCAGCGCCTCGGGCACCGCCCCCTCCCCGAGCGCCTTAACCGCGGTGCTGGCCGCTCACGCCGTCCTCCCCGCATTCAGCCGCGGGCGCCCGTGGACGGCCACACCTGAGCCAGGAACGGGGCTGCGGGGCAGGAGCCGCCCCGGCCACAGTTGCAGGCCCAGCGTGGGCGTCGCCCCCTCCTGGGGGCTCCGCCCGGGCCCGGCTCCGCCCACCGCGGGGCGTGGCCTCTGCGTGCGCATGCGCGTGGGCGCGGCCTGGCGGCTGAGGTCGCGGGCTTCAGGCGACGCCCTCGCGGCGGAGAGTCCGGCGGGGGCCGCGCTGCCCCGCGAGGGCTCCGGGTGCGCGTGCGGGGCTCCGTGCTCTGGTGCGTTGGGCCGCGCCGCGCGTCCCATGGTCCGGCGCCGTGTGGGGTGAGTGGGGGCGCCTGTGGCGTGCGGGGACGTCTGGGGTGTGGGGGGCTGTGCGCGTGTGGGGTGCGGGGGCCCCGTCTGGCGGCGAGTGTTGACCGCGCGGGGAGCGCTGAGGGGACGAGCGCGGGGCCCGGTGGCTGGTCGTGCGGCCCGGGGCGCGGACCTCCCTGCGGGAAACCCCGATGCGGCCGCGCACAGGGGATGAGAGAGTGACGGCGGCGCAGGTGGGTCTCCCAGGAGGACGCTGGTCTCGGCGGCCAGAGGCCTCCTGCCAGTTCATGGCCCGCCTGAGGTGAGGGGACGCCCTTGCTGACGAGCCCGTTCACCCGCCGACTGAGGAGAGCGCGAGCTCCCCTAGCAGCTGCCCTGCGAGGAGGCTGACTGACTCCCGGAGCAGCCGACTCCCGGCTCCCTGGCTGGCCACCCGGGCAGCTCACTGGCGGAGGCGGTGTGCGCGGAGTCCACCACCCGCCTATGTCGCTGCCTCCCTGGCGAACAGTGGTCCCGAGCCCTCTGTGCCCTCCGCCTTCCCAGGATTCCTGCCCTGAGGGTCCTTGCTCAGCACACTAGGGGGCCTGCCGGGGACTCCCAAGCCCCGCCAGGCGCCCCCTCCTGAGGACCTTCCCTCTGCATTCCCAGCGGGAATATCCTAGGGCCCGGGATGGACTCCACGCCCATGCCAGCTTGTGTCTGGGCCAGGGGCGGCCGCACAGGCCAGCGCACAGGAGGGACGGGATTGGTGACCAGAACATGGCCTGGGGAGCTACACTCTCTGGGCTCAGTGCTGGTAAGGCCTCACCCCCTCATGCTCCCCCACGCCCCAGCCATGGGGCAGGATGAGGCTGAGCAGAGGCATTTCCGGAGACCCGGGCGATCCCCCCACTCTCCTCTGAGGGGAGCGAGGTGTCTACACAGGGGCCATCTGTGGCCAGGTTTGCTCACCTGCACAACAGGGACCTCAAACACACCCCACATAGGCCATGTGGACAGAAGGCGGCTCAAGAGGCTGTCCAGAGAGACCAGTCTGCCTGGACCCGAGTCCCTGAAAGTCCTATGCCAGGCCAGGCTACCCCGCCCTCCTGATGGGGCCTTGGTGTCAGGTGTGAGGACAACAATCCCATCCATTCAACCTGGGACCCCTAGTGGAGGCAGCTTGACTCCAACTGGCAGGGATGGCTCCTCTGTGTCCAGAGCCCTGACCTGGGACTGCCAATGCATCAGCTGGGGGCGGCTAGAACACCCCTCTGGGTTGCGGGCAGGATGACCCTCAGGACACAGCCTAAGGACGAGGCAGGGGCTAGGGCTCCAATGGTGGTCAGGACACTGGCTCAGCAGGTGCAGATTTACCAAATTAGAATTTCCTTACAAGGATCAAAGCTGTTCCTGTCTGCCCCTAGGACCAGGGGAACTGGGGTTGGGGTTGGCCTGTCTGGGCCACGTAACCAGGAATGATCAGGTGTTTCCTGGTTATACGACAGGGTCCTGGACAGCAGTGCCAGGGAAGGACCAAGTTCTGGGCAGCAGGAAACCCACAGACAGCATCAGACAGACCCAAATGAGGAAGGTGCTTGCTCCCCCTCCTCCACTGAGAGGGCCCCTCTGGGTGGTGACCCCCAGGGGAAGATGGCAGAGCAGGGTGGTTGAGGGGTAGTTGTGGGGGAGGAGCCTGAGGCAGGAACTGACAAGACCCTGTTTGTGGTATCGGGGACTGAAGACAGGGTGAGCTCACTGGGAGCTACTCTGCCTCACAGGGGCTGGAATTAAAAAATGAAAAATACACACCTGCAGGGCTTTTACAGATGGGATGTAGTAAACTCTCATTTTTTGTGCCTTAGGTGGTAAATGTTCTGGGAAGACCATCAGGCGAGGCCAAAGGCTTTGGGGGTGAAAGGACGCACCAGAGACAGAGTGGATAACACAACAGGTAGATGTGTGGAAATGCTTCGCTAAGAGAAGCAGCGGCGAGAGGAGAGACTTCTGGGTCTCAGTTTGATTTCTGACTTCAGTAGGCTTTGTCTGACTTGGGCAGTCGGTCCTTGCTGGTTGTTACCCATTGTGGCATCAGGCTTTCAGTCAATTCTCCCTTTAGGCCACGTCTGGGGTTTGTTTGCCCTGATTCCACCTTCTCTGGAGCTCTGGCAGCCTTTGGCGTGTGTGCACTTGATCTGGCTCCCTACTTGATGTATCTCACTCCCTTTCTTATCTCCTTTATTTTCCCCAGCAGTGTTCTGCTGAGCATGATGCAGAGACTAGCTTTTAATTTTATCAGATGTACCCCAATAGTAAGGGGGGGTGCGAGTGCCTAAATGAGGCTGTGGTGAGCTCTGAGAATAGAATGAGGGCCTCCCCGGTGGCCCAGTGGGCTGAGCGCAGCGCTGTGACGCTTTCTCCAGCCTCTGTAGCGCGGGTTCTATTGCCGGCCGGCCAGGGAGAAACCCACATGGCGCCGCAGACCTCTCCTGACTCACCCGCTGCTCCCCTCAGCAGTATCTTCGCTCCTTCTGCCTGGTCTGCTTCCCGCTCTGTTTCTGGTGAATTCTCTCACCATCCCACCCCTCTGCCTGTACCCCAATTCTTGTATAAATAAATAAATCTTAAAAAAAAAGGAAAAGGATGACATTTCCAGGTTAAAACAGCAATGTTGTGTAAACAAATTTCAAAAAAGATGGAGCAATTGTAATGGAGAAATGTAAAGTGCATTTCTAATGTAGGATTACTGTTTACATCAATGGAAAAGAAGGTAGCATATATGAAATAAGGAAAGCAATTCTGTTCCGCTCAAATTATCGATATTATATTACGCTGAAAGACGAATTACAACTTTTAAGATCAGTAATGTTATTTTGGACATGGGATTTTTGTGAAGACTTATGGTGAGATAATAAAATGATAGTGGTAAATATATGTACTTATTTTCACAATTAAACAATTGTGTGGCAGTATCCACACCTCAGACAATATAAACTTTATGAAATGTCACCGTTTTCACAAATGTCGTAAGTACTATTTGTCATTTTTCTGAAATTACAAATTTCTAATACATAAATAAATGACGTGATTGCCTTTAGGTGAACACTGATACAGGTGTGTACATTACATGTGCCCAGGCCACACATGGCACGGCACACACATCATACCAGACACACATCCTAGATCCGCGTGGGAACATAATACAGTTGTAAGAATGTAAGCATCAAGAGCTTTTCTTCTTCCTTTGTGGCCTAATTTGTGTAAGTAAGAAAGTGTGCCACGTGAGCTCAGATATGTACAGACAAGTCTGTCACAATAATTGCTTTGAGTCGCACACTGTTGAATGCTTCATATTTTGTGTGAGCTCCACACTGTATATTCAGAGCAAGCTCTATACATGCCCCTCCTGAGACTGAGGACACACGCTCTTAGCGCCTTGAACACACAGTGGATACAGATCTTTCCTTCCAAGTGCATCTGCCCCGGTGCCAAGTTTCCTGGCACCTCCACCCTGAGAGACGAGGGTGGGCACCTCCAGTCTGTGTCTTGCAAAAACGCTCACATCCCCTTCACCGTGGGAGAAATCTTGCTCCTGTACACCCCAGGCCGTGCAAAGCATGGCTCCTTGAATTGTCACCGTCGCCCTCACCCTCTGGTGGCTCAAAACCAGGTAAGATGTGCTTCTGTGCCTGCTAGACGCAGGCCATCCGTCCGCAGGTCTATCAGAGGATGCTCTGGCATGGAATCGCCTTCTCACACCCTTCTCCCTGAGGCTGGAATGTGCAAGACTGAAAACTGCTCCCGAAGCCGGACTTGCTTCCGGGGTCTCCCCTCCGGACAGCTGACTCCAGCTCCGGGGCTGTCCTGCACCCACCGTGCCATTTTCCTGTGAACTAAGCTCCGTGCCCAGATGTTCCTACGACTTTCTGTGAGAATTAAAGTGACACAATTGAGGACACACTTTCCACCATTCCAGAAAGTGTCAGGCCCGCGGGCTGTCTTGCACACATTGTGAACCATCTAGAGCAAGACTGTTTCCTCACAGGAGTATTAGGGACCCCTGTACAGACCTCGTTACAGTGACTTGTCCCAGAAACACTTGTGAAGAGTTGCTCAGCCTGTCCCTAAACCATATGTCACTCACGACTGCACTTAGGACTGGGGGTGTGATTGAATTATTAAATGAATAAATGACCGTGCACTCACATGCGGTTTACATATTTCTCGAGGGTTAGTGGCATTAACTATTCTTGATCAGGGCAGAGGGCAGCATGGACACCTTGGATTCCCGGCTCAGGAGCAGAAAAGGACAGAGAGTCGGGAAACACAGTTCGATTACTTTGTTGAAGTTAAAAAGGAACCAGTCAGGATTATAAATAACAGCCACAGCCGTCTTCAGCATGGAGGAAATTATGTTAAAGAAGACGAAGGTGCTCACCAGGAGCAGGATGGTGTGAGTGGCCCTAGACTCGGGGCAGGACTTGGAGGAGGCGAATCCATGAAGATGCCAGACCCGCCGCCTGTGCCGGGACAGGGTGTAGACCATGGAGCCGCTGGCCCCGACCATGGTCACA